AAAACCTTGGATAGAAGAAATTATTCTATATATAAAAGTCAAATGTAAGGAAAATGAGACGATTGGACGGACAAGTGCGAAACACGTTTCCGTTATCTTAAAAATACACGTCATTATAAGCTACGCTTCATGGAAAAAGCAACATTCCCAGGATACACAGATTGAGACTGGGAAAGTAATCCGTCCAATCATAAATCTACAATGGGGTATGTGTATACATTTGCAGAGGGGTAATAAGTGGGAGCAGCAGGAAACAACTAATGTTGCTCTATCGAGCACAGAAGCAAAGTTCATCAGTATGGTGCAAGGTACTAACGAAGTTTTGTGGTTCAAAAGTTTTATGGAGGAGCTGGGACGTACTGCCATCACCTATACATATATGTGTTGATAATCAAGGGACAATTTCTATGGTGATAAACAACCTAATAAGTGGACGTAATAGATCTAAACATATCGAGATTGACTATTTACCCAGATCGATCTTAACAGCATTATGGACCCCTGCCAAAGCAGTGTACTGGGGCCCTACGACAACTACTCACAGGAATAAAAATGTAAATGTTCATAAAATTAAACATATACTGTATTTATTTTATTGTCACTTCTAATAATATCGGTGTTAAAACATTAAAAACATGCTGTGCAACTACAGGTAATCCCCGTATAACACGGGAGTTACGTTCCAAAAAATTGCTGTGTTATGCGAATCCGTGTTATACGAAACAAAGAACTAGTGCGAAAAGGGGGATTAGGTTCCAAAAATTAAAAACGTGCTGTTAAATCCTTATTTAAATCGGATTTACTATTCATTTTTTTTCATAGGTAAAATACTTATTTATTATTTACGTAAATATTTTACCAAAGGATTATTAATTCTATATGATGATCTCAGCATGAGCATCATCAACTGGTAACAGTTTTTGGGTGCATTCGTTAATAGCGGTCGCTCTTCAACGGGAGTGCGCTGCTGTTTGTAGGCATTTAGGAACGATGGAAGAATCTATAATTCTAAAATGAGTTTTTAGAGGCAAAAGAAGGGTTCCAATTGTAAAATTTAATCATTAAATGGATTATTGTTGAAAGAGCATTCAGTGTAGCCAGGAAAACAATTAGAATGCTTGCGCGGAGTTACGCGGAAGTATAAAAGAACGCACCCTTTATTACATTTCTTGTTGTACGAGGGTTTTACCCAATTTTCAAACCCTGTTAGAGTGAACCCGTGCTATAAAACCACCGTGTTATACAGGGGATGTTCCCAATTCTCGAATCATGTTAGAGTGAATCCGTGCTATAGAGGTGCCGTGTTATAAGGGGGGGTACCTGTACAACTAATCGACATGATAAACATTTGAACAATATACGAGACTTAAAAAGCATACTAATACTCAGTAAGCCATACAGATTAGATTTCACAGTATTGAAAGGTTATCATACACAGATTAGTATGAGGTCCCTATGCTCTTGGGGCCCACGGGTAAGTGCCCATCGGGCCCATGCGTTACAACGGCCTGCTTTAACCGCCTCGTCTACTCCATTGACTTTCAGATTATTTATTTTTATGATAGATTCCGGAGAGAGGAAAAGAATACAGAATCTAATTTTACAAAATATAATATTTTTGGCTCCATAGCATGCAATTTCTAAACACTAGAAGGGTAATCGTTTTTATTTACTTGACGTTTATTTTTACAGGAATATGTTTTGATTAAGCTAGCACAACAATCAATATTTATCTATGTGAAGAAATGATATTGTAAACATTTCATTTTTTTTTATCCTGATAATTTAATTCGAAAACACACATAAAGGCTTGTTTTTTTCGTTTTCTTAACCGATGGGTTTGTAAAAAGGCCTTTTTAGTGTCTAATAAGAAGGCCGTGTTATATACCCATCGTGAGTAACGTTAGGCCCTTCCTCCATCACCCGGCCGCCTCATTGTGAGCCTGATAGAACCCATAATAGGTTTGTTTAAAAAGGCCTTCTTAGTGCCCACAGAGCGAAAGAGTTAAATAAAAAAAAAACATCGTGGATTCGGCCGAGTCCACAATGGGGCAACCGAATGGTGTGAGATAGGGTAGATAGATTGCCCATAATTATGGTTTATAGATATAAAACTAAAAATAGTGCAAATCACTAAGATTATGTTCTAAATTTCTGTAAGATATTAAAATAATATAACAAATCATCGCAATCGTTCTAAAACTTTATATAAAATCGATTAAAAGTTTTTAAAAAAAAAAATACTTGTAATTCAATGAAAACACGTAAATATTCAAATATAATAAATGAAAATCATTTATTAAATCTAGAAAGTAGGCCTATTCTTGTGAAATCGTGTTGCAACATCACTCATTCTTTTATCACCGAAAGGCATCTGTCTGTTCGTTCTTGAAAGCACGTAAACCCGCTTTCACCTAAGTCAATGACTAATAAAAGTTTGTGCGTTTTAAACTCTAAAATTCTGTCGTTTCTTTTCCCCCGTATAATTTAAGCTTAATAAATTAATATTTGCAACATCATAAGCCTTTCGGTATTACAAATAATTCTGTACGAATAAACAAACAGAACGTAGTGACTTTCTACTGCGTAAAAAACACGGCAATTGTTTTTATTCGTGAAACAGAAAAACTTCGATTGGCCTTGATTCTAATTTTATTATGTGTTTCATTCGATTGTTTACACGTCTTATTAGTTTAGCTTTGTTTCTTATACGTAAAGACGAGGGACCGTCCATTAATTATGTGTACAGTTTAATTAAGGGAGAAGAGGTCGCGATTGTATAAATGTACATTGTACTGTACAAAAAGTATACAATAGAAAGGAAGGAAGAAGACGAGGGACTTGTCTACTTGGACTTTATTTAGTGTTATACGAAGTGGTGTGAATTAATCAGAAAATATTTGCAGCACTTTTTCGAGTCATTTCTTCAATGTCTGGGAGTTCTTTGAGCTATTGTAAAAGTAATTAAAGGGGGGTTTGACAAAAGTATATCATTGTACGCAACAGGAAGGAAGAGGGTCAAAAATGGTCCAAAAATTGTATACGTAATTAATGTATGGCCCTTTCTACACGATCTTCTAATGCATACTTTCTTGGTCTAGTTTATAAACTGCCTAACGCCATAAGGATAACCTAATTTTAATTAGGACACGAAGAAATTCTTAAGCCTCTATCTAACTTGTCATATAATTTTAAATCTATTACGCGACCGATATTTACTGTTTTTTTTATAGATAAACTGTTTTTCTATAAATATATAAAAATAACATATATAGGTCTATATAAGAAATCTTATCGATTTATGATCTGATTAGCGACTCTACACGTGTATCAGATTAAAGATAAATATATTTAAAAGATTAGAATGGGATTAAGGATTGTTATTGTAACAAAGTTTTGCACGTGTTAGAATATAGAGAACATTTTTTATATTAATGTAAATTTAAATATCTGTATACAGTTACAAGCACTGTTAGAAAAAGATGTATAAAAACTAAATTAGCCTATATTAAAGCCTCCCAGTTATGGGCCTTACTGAATCCACGATGGGTACGAGAAAAGGGCCCTCTTATTAGCCACAGTCAGGGCCGGATTTACATTTAAACTAAATAAGTTGCAGCTTAGGGCCTCGCGTTATGAATCTATAGCTTAGGGCCTCACATTTTTACATATATATAGGGCTTAATTAATTGATATAGGGAAAGGACCTGATGTATGTTATAGATGGATCCTCACATTTTTACACGTATAGCCTAATTATTTGATGAAGAGTAACGACCTGCTATATTAGCTTAGGGCCTCACATTCTTACCCGTGTAATTATTTGGTGGAGAAGGGCCTACTACTGTATACGTTACAGCATAGGGCTACACAGGCGGAATGATTTAGACATGAAAAATATATACTTATAGACTTTATCAGCGTTAATATCAATTATGAGTCTAAAAATAGATACTTTTCAGTCAAATAAAGTGTCTACACATGATAAATTTTAATAAAAACTTTCATATTTTCTACGTTAATAAATTAAGTCAAACAAATATAATATTATAAATTAAGTTTTTTTAAATATTTATTTATTTATTTATTTATTTCACGCCATTTGTATTTTAAACGTTTCACACCAAGCATTACAATATGAGTCATTTACACGTGGGCCAATGCTTGGATTGATTCCAGCATTGAGAAGAGGAAGATTCACTTAGAATAATATTTAGAAATCGAAGTATGTAACCAACATCTATCTTTAAATTTCGACAAACAACAAAATAACGTATTTTATTGCAAATCCTAGTAATTTAAATAGCTTAAAAATAACTTTATGCGTGCTTCTAATTTATCACAAATACAAAAAAAAACAATTAACAGTTAAATAAATAATAAAATTAACCATTTAAATTTAAATTTATTGCGGTAATTTTTACAGAAGTAAGCCGTAAAAATTACCACAAGTAAACTGTAAACTACAGTAGTGTGAAGCTGTCAGAAAAGTTCATTGCTCTAAAAATTCCTTCACACTTTGAGGCTTGATTTTAGACTTAAAAATATTACTAAAGCGTATATTTAAATAATAAATAAGAATTTTGAAATATAATAAAGTATTTCCTTCAAAATAAACAACTTCTGTATAATTATTCATAGTATAACTTGTGGTTAATAATGGGGGGGAGGAAGTAAAGCTAATTTCGCAACGTAACCTTACAAAATAACAATTTTTTGAATAGTAAAGATTAAAATCAAATTGCGTAGAAGGTAACAAAACTGCTGACGTTTAAAAAATTCAAGGCAAAAATATGGACGTGTCAAATGTCACGTACCTGCTATTGTTATCCAGTTAAACGTTATTAAATTACATACAAAATAAGTTTAAAAATTCTGTATTTAATTAACGTCACATAAAGTTAGAAAAATATATATATTTTTTGACCCTCTTAAAATGGACGTTTTTATATAAAATACGATTAAAATGTGGATGAATTACGACGTTGAAAGGTTCGAGGCAAACTAGAAGATAAGAAAAAGTAATGATTGGAAGTAAACAAACTTTTACGCTCGTAACAACTTTGACCTAACAGCTGATAGTAGTCACGTCCGCAGGCTTGCTGCGGTGTCGCCGACTATATATATAGGCTATATAAGTTGCTGGCAACAATCCTGTAGCTGACAACAAAGAAAATGTTTTCCAAGACAGTGACTCGACTTGCAACTAAATGCAAAAACAGCATTCGTGTTAGAAGTAGAAATGTGACGTCAAGTAAGATTACTGAACTTTTATCCTTTTATTTATTTATTTATTTTATTCTTGTCCGATGCAAAATTTTATGTTTAAATCGTCGATTTGTTTTCGTTATTATTATTATTATTTTTTTTAATTTAATTTATTTTATTAATTTAGATGCGACTGCCGAGCGCTTCCATCCTTCATCTTTAGAAAAGAAGATGGTTTGGAATAACAACTTTGCTGCCATAGAAAACATTCCTAAATGCGTCTCGTGAGTGTTAATTTAATTTGCTTAATTATCTGTAGTTTATTAATTTTTTTTTAATTATTATTTTATTTAATTTTTTTTTTTTTCGTTAGTCGATATACGGTGGAACGTGCTAGAGATTTAACTAGGATTAAAATGAATGCGTTACTTATGATTGTCACCGTCGTGGGATTTGTAGGAATGGTGGCGAGTGGAAAATTAGCAGCTAAGAGTGGGGATTCTGTTATGATGGAAAATATGCAGTGGCACGAGAACGTTAAAAGGCCAATTAATTAAATGAGTAGTAATCGTTACCATTTTCATTTTATTTTTATTAATGCATTTCTATGGGAAATTTATCAAATTTTATATAAGCCAGTTTCTACGCATCTCATATAGACTGATGAAGAACAAAATGAGAAAGTAATGTGTAATTTTAAAGGCCTATTATTTGGTCTATTACGTGGTTTATATATATATATATCCTATATATAACTCGACGGGTAAAATATATTTGCAATTTATAATGTAATGGCATTATATTGTATATAATTCAATAAAATTATTTTGTTTTGTATGTTTTGTCATTATTTTTTTTTAAGTTAACAATAATAATAAGCCGAGTAATGTAATTAAATACTCGAATATATGTATTCTAAAACCAAATTAAAGGCCAAAATGTGTTCGTGTATACCGTAATGTGTGATGTATATCGATAGAATGAAAACATATAAACGAATTTACGGTTAAAGTATTAAATTACCTTCTTGTTCTTTTATTATTAATTAGATTTTTAATACTATGACTACATTTATAGAGCTTATAACACTTTTATTTTAGCATTTATTATATTAATTTATGATTACAAAGTTATGTACAGTCTTTAGATCAGTCTAAAGTGCATTTTTGCTAAAAATTTACCACCCTCTTCGGTTAGAATTTTTTAAATTAAATAAGATTTATCTAATTCAAGATCCAGACAGGCTTCCTCTATTTTGACAGAGTTTAATTATTTAAATACGGAACTTTTCGTTCTGATGCCCAAATAGGAATTCCTCGTTTTGTGTTACTTATTGTATTGTTTTATTTACGTGTTTTGCCTATGTTTTATGTGATTTACTTATTCTTTTACGTGTTTTTGTGAGTTTTATTTGTCTATATTATGTTATTAATTTTTTCTGTGTCTGTTTTAATTAATGAATGGGATAGTTCTTATTGTTATGGACATTTAACTCGTGCTTTTTGTCGAAAATTTCTGAAATTTTGCAGGGAGTTTTCTTTATTAGGGGGATTGATGCTATTAAATTTTGATGATTAAAGATCGAGGGGGTGGGAAGTTAAAGGGGGTCGTGTGTATCTCGCGTAGGGTCGAACTTAATGACGATTTTACGATTTTATTATTATCATTTACAATTCGTTTAAAAAACCCATCCCTATCCTCAAAATTAAGAGAACGTAGCCAAGAGAAAGTAGTGAATAGGAGACGAACTATCTCCCCGAATAATAGGAGGAAAAATGAACAGTTCTAGATTTGGTCGTTAGATGGTGTTCTTGGTGTGCTTCGCTTCTGTTTAGTGTCTTTTATTTCGTCGTTATTGTTTTGTCGTATGTCACCTCTAAGCAAGTAACCTACAGCACGTTGGAAAGTTGTTATTCCGTGGCCTCATCAGACGATACGGGAGACGAACTAACGTCAATAAACGGGTGATATATTCCTTTGTTCAATGCCGGGAAAGCGGAGAAATTGGGTGCTGTAAAATGTAATTGTCACATTCCCGGTTGTAGATGGCGTGAGAGGGAGTGACACTGATAGAAGTTTTTACTGTCACCCAATACCGAGTCTAAAGCGAAAAGCAACGCTTCCTCGGAGGGGCTGAGACGAGGACCGTGCGGTTACAGCTGCATCCTCCCCGAAAGGGAAGAAAAACATTATTTTCTGTCATTTACGGGAGCATCGTTCGAGAGAACGTAACCAAATTCTTCGGGGAGAAGGAAATGGTCGGCATCCCGCGATTCGAATCGCGCTCCTGGCAACAGCTCGTGAACCAATCGAAAATTGTATAAAGACCTCACCGACGAGGGACACCACCAGCCATCTTTCCTCTTTGCATCCCGAGACACTTCCTATACCTGTCACCTTCCTGGAATCTATCCGCACCTGTCATCGTCTCTACATGCCCCTGGTCACTCTCTCGGAGAAGTTCCAATCTTAGTATTTGTAAGCATCTATTTGTCGATTTAATAAACGCGAATTATACTGTTAATGTGTCTCTGTGTTCGACATCACTATCCATACGATCCTCTCGCATCATCCTGGCAGAGCGCGAGCACGGCGAGCACTCTACGTTTTGCTGTAAGATAGGGAGTATACAGTACGCGAAGACCTGAGTAGACAACGCACAGTCGGGTAGCCTTACAATTCTAATTCGTAATATTTTATCTTCAACCTGCCCTACAAAGTTATATGTACTGTTAAAGAACCTTTAGAAGTTACTGTAGTCGCGTACAATAAACACATACAACGTTGCTTGATAAAAAGCTTATTTATTATTCAAATAAAACACGTATGCTGCAAGAATTTATGCAAATAATTAAATATTCCAAGAAATTAGTTAAAAACATGCAGTCGACACTGAGGACAAGGACTTCAGTGTAATAGAATAGATTCCTTTTTATTATTTCCATCCTTATAAAATTACTGAAGTTGCTTTAATTAACATTTAAAGGTAAAAAGTAACTTAAAGTGGACAGCCTGCTCTCCAGGTATCTTCCAAAAAGAAAATTTGATGTTTTTAACAGTACATAGAACTCCATAGAGTGGATTGAAAGTAAAAAATCACAAATTACAATAACGTCTTTCCAACGTGCTTTAGATACAGTGCTTGTTTGGAGATCACACACCGCAAAACAGCAACGATAGAAGACTCTAAACAGGAATTAAAACATACCTACAACACCACCTAATGACCGAATCTATAGCTGTTCGTTTTCCTCCTATTCCTGGGGTTTTTCGATCATGGAATTCTGTCCAGACAGAGCTATGGTCTTTGACTTGTGGTACTAAATAATGATACACGTAAAAATGTGAAGTCCTATAGACTCAAAACGCGAGACTCGGCTGCTGCTTGTTTACTTATGTGCAAATCCACCCTTGGATCCTGGACTGTAGTCTAGGCTAAAGCCTTAATCATTCGTCCATCAGACCATCCTTTGTCAGATAATTTCTGATATTAATAAGTTTAATACACGTATTATTAATTTTATAAGTATTGCATTATTATTTACTTGAATGTCTTTATATAATACTGAAAAGCTTAAAATTAAAATAAGTTTTACAAATATTTCTGTTAGAAAATTATGTTTACGTAACACGCGGAAATGATCCAGCGAGTTTCAGTCGATTATAAATTGGCATTTAACTGAATTTTTATATTTTATTTCTAAAGTAATAGTAAAATTTGCTTTTATTCTTCTTTTCGCAACATTCTAGACGTAACTAAAAATATGTTTGGAAGATCTATTTGAATTCGACCATATTTATTTGGCACAGCAGAAGGTAATTTTTAAATTACGCCATTTTGATCTCGAATTAGAGTTTTAAAAACTATTAAACAACGGGAACCAGTTATTTTTGGCACATCACTGGCGAGCCACCAGTGATCGAGTGAATAAAACCACTAAACACTAGTAGTTGGTAGCGAGTTCGCTCCTCACCACAGCTAGCAATGTGGAGTTTTCAGGATCTCCTTCACGTGTCTAACAAATAAATAGGGACCAGTTTCCAAAGAAATTTCTCCTTGAAGGCATCCTCCTTGTCATATCGCCCAAGCGTTGCGTTACTTCCTTCCATTCATGGATCCAATTCAATCCGATTATTTTAATTGCTGGTGGGAAGAAAACCTTGGCACACTACTGCACACGAATTTGACGAGCTTATGCTAAAAGAAATGAACATTAAAATTATATTTTTGATTTTTAAAATATCTTTTATGGAATTTGTAAGAAAAACACAACCATTCACGAAGAAACTACCCAGCATTTACGACTTATTGATTGATTACTCGAGCTGCCAGAATTATAAATTTACGATTTATTCCCGAAAATATAGTTTGAGCCACACGGTACCGTATTTAAACATAGCATTTCATAAATCATAATAGAAAATATATCATAATTTTCTATCATGATATATTTTCTATAGGGAGGATGGTAAGAGGGAGGGTGATAAAGCAATGGGTTACTATACTTTCGAATATTCGGAAAAATTGTTTAATTATCACAGTTTAGATGTGTTTATAAATAAATAGATAATTGATTTGATAGATTCTAATTGAATAGCCACGGTTAATCTATTTTTACAGTGCCAAGATCGTTGAATCTACTTATAGTAATGTAAATGTAGTTAACGTATCAACGTTTTCGTTTTGCAAGAGGAGTTGCAAAACCTATTATATAAAGGATCAAAAATTTGATAATTTAGCAAAAAATATATTAATAATTTCTCCTTTAAAAATTACTAAAAAGTTATAAAGGAAATTATTTTTATTACAAACAGAAAGAATAATAATAATTATAATTTTTATATGTTTTGATATAGGCATAATTTAAATGTTTATTTATTCGGAGAGAAATATTTTAATTATTGCTTTCTCGTTATTATTTTTTAATTATTAAATAATAATAGTTTTAAATACATATTATTTAAAANACCTTGAAACGTCGATAAATGCAAAAAAAATTCGGGTTTTTTTTTGTATGGATGGATGTTAGTATAAGTGTGTACGTGTATGAGGGCACGATTTTGTTTCCCCTTTTTCATGCTTAATGTTGTTTAATCCAATAAAAATAATAATAATAATAATAATAATTTACGCTTACAAATGTTGTGTATATGTACACCTTTGAACAATAAAATTATTGAATAATCCAATCTTTCAATTGTAATTAACAAGTAAGATTTGAAAGTCGATAACAAATTACTCATCGGACAATTTATTACAACTGAAAAACTAATTATAAAATGTCAAGTGATAAAATTCTCTTATCCCCGAGTTTATCTTACCACATCCATTGAATGTTCTTGAAAGATTTCCAATATGTCTGCATACGTAATAATACTGGAATTTTCAAATCTATGACATCAAATCGTCTTCTATCAATCGTTAAGACAAACTTGGCCAACGACCAGATTGAGAAAATTCTATTTTCATTGCAGAATCATAATAAGCGAACATATTGTTTCTGAAGAGAAATTTATACAACACGAATTCTTTATTAAGCATTAACTGTATGACAGGCCAATATTTTTATTTTAACTCAAATTCATTCGTTAGACAAACGTGAATCGTCCAAACCGAGTGGGTCATCGTGGATTCGGATTTTGCTCTTCATCTTTAATGGAGAATGAAATCTGATCTAAATTATTCTTAGAAAAAGTATGAATGGGATTCAAAACGGTATAGTTGTATAATAAAATAACCTACCTTATAATAATGTAAAATAATCCCTCACTGAGCTTCAAAATTTGGAAATAAATTGCGTATAGTC